TCCTTGCCCACATAGTTGACTCCCGACATCGTGAGGACCCCAGCGAAGCCTTGAAGGTAATTTACAAGTTCCTACCAAACTACCCACATTCCCTGGGTCAACGGTTGCTTGCAACAGCAGAAACAACTGCGATCCGGTTGAGGAAGCCGATTTTGTGCGCGCAAAAGAATTTTGTGCAAACTTCACATCTGGCGTGCCCCGCAGTCACTTAGCGGCATGCACTAATCCGTGCTCTGATTGGCTACCGCTTGAAAGGAAAGATGATCTATCGATTGTTTAACTTTGACCCTCTTATGTAAATGTATGGCCTGAGTAGAATGTACCGAAAGTGTACACTCGCCAAATGCTGCTCTGCATTATCTGATGGGAATTTTTGCAGCTTCGAATGTTCTCGATCAAGGAGCACTTGTAATGTCATTCTACATCAAGAACTCCTCCAAATATGTTATAAGGTGAAATAGACGTTCACTCCTACTCCTAGTGCATCACTTCTCGGATAAGGAAGATGTGTCGAGCACCGGATCAATTGATTTATTGTCCCGAGCTTTCGAACTCTTGCAGGAGTCCATCTTCAGAGGTGAGAAGTAGCAACAAGACGAGGGTAATTATAGGGGCCATAAGCCAATCAACTGACAGAAATAATCAGGTTGTCAAGGGGTTAGAAACAGCTACCAAAATGGATGGGCGAGGAGGGTTATTAGCTGTCAGTGGATTCGAGGGGCAATTACGGTGGTGTACGCTAATTAGCTGTCAGTGGAGTGGGGGGTCATGAACAGCAATTATTGTGGCGTCTTGTCACCCGGTAGAGGGTCCTGGTAAACCTGCCTCCTCTTCTAGCCGTTTCGCCGTAGGATCTTCTTCGTTTGCAATCTTTACGTTCAGCTTGGTCTTGTTTCGTCCTTCGCTCTCATAATGGCGCAAGATTTTTTGGGCCGCGGGCAGGTCTAGATGCCTGTTGACGGAGTTGACATCTGAGTACCATGCCTCAAGCATCAGCCTTTCGGCTTTTGAGTTTCC